GTGATATATTTAATGAATTTATTCATTGGTCTTCTTAGCAATCAAATTGAAAAATATAACATAGATGAAGCATTTTTAGCTCAAAAGGCAAAAATCATAAAAGAGATTGAATTATTTTATTTACTTCCTAATCAACGTCGTTGGATAGAATGGTTTCCTAATATATTGTAATTATGCTTATTTTTTTTTTTTTTGTTTTTTGATAAATAATCACAAATAATTTAATTTGATAATTTGATAGATCTTATGCTGTGCCAATTGAAGATGTTCGAAGAAGAATTAGAGAAATTGATAGTAGTCAAGAAGATCCAGAATTTCTTCCATTTATTTCTGAGAATCTTAGAAAAATTGCAGCTATTCCCAAGCCAGAAAAGGAAATTGAAAACCTTAAAAATGATCTTAAAAATGATCTTCTCAAGGAAATTGAAAACAAATTAAATCATAATAATCATAATAATGAACAGATGTTGCAAAAATTATTGGCTGATGATCTCAAGGAAATTAAAATGAGTCATGAAAATCTTAAAAATGATCTAAATCATAATAATGAACAGATGTTGCAAACATTATTGGCTGAGATTAAAAATTTAAAAAAATAATTATTCTTAATTTAAACCAGTTTTTATAAAATTTTATATTTTAAAATTGAGATTAAAATTGATTTCCTATTTATTATAATGGTTAAAATAAATAATGATAAGGAAATCCTTTTTAGAATTATCAAATTATCACTACACTAAATTTCGAGCCCTGTAAAATTGTGTGAAACAATGTTCACTTTGTCTGGTTTTGTTGCAGTATGCCCATGTAAAGGTTGCAACCATAAACCAAAATAAAGTCATATATCTACAATGATATGGTATTCTTCTTTCTATTAGCTGCCCAGGATTTAAAATTATTTGATTTTGTGTTGTCACTTTAGAAGGATACAATAATAATGGTACTTGAGAGGGTAAAGAGAAGGCAAAGGACAGACAACAAATTCAATGAATATTTGTTTGTTTTTTGTTGTATTTGTTTCTGTGTATGTGATATAATAAACTTATTTTACTTTTATCATCTTTGACTTTATTATCTCTTTATTATCTCCAGAGAATCACATATTGTTTCATGCTTTTCGATAGTCCATTTGTCTAATAGTTTCTTGTCCAGTATTATAAAATCGATCTTTCATACTCTTTTTTTCGGCATGCGATTATTCCTCGCATTTTCTAGCTGTGAAATCGGATCAATTTATTTTTTAATAACAATATAGCAAAATTTTCATTTTTTAGAAAAACTTTTACGCAATACAATTAGCACATGTGGTTTACGGGAACGGATACTTTGGCAGGTGGGTTCTATATAGTCGTGTGACATGTCACCAAAGTTAATTTTCCGAAAACTTTTTGAAAATTTTTTCTTCTATATACAAATAGAATCTTTACTGCCATTCACAAAAGGATCGTCAATTAAACACTTCGAAATTTACCTTTCTGTCATTCTATAATTGAGCATCTCGTTATTCTCTCATATTAACACAATTATTATAAAGAATGAATTTACCCAACAAATTCTCGAGACCTTTTGCTATTCTCGTTGTAATATTATTCGCAACTTTAGCAATTTCTGAACCAATTCCTAAAGAAGAATCACCATTTATTCATGTTCCAGCTCCAGGTCCAGGTCCTTGGGCTGTTAAATCTATACAAAATATCAGTTGGTGGTGTATTGCTTGTAAACCAAAAGGTATGAAGTCATGACTATTTTCTAAAATGATGATTAATGATTTCTTACATTTATAATAGATAATGTAGATATCGTCATTATAAGAAACGGTTGTACTGTGGTATTCCAAACAACTGTAAATTGATAAATAATTTTTTTATTATCCTTTTGTTGAAAAAATGAAATTTTATTCATTTATTACGGAAATGAATTTTATTATTAAAGGGTGAAAACGCTAATTCTGGCACGAAATACTTTAAAATTGACCCAAGATGGGCTATTCCAGGGAATCAATTCGTTGTTCGGGTAACAGTTCAAAGTGATCAAACTGTTACTGGAAGTAGTACACCATTTACCGTTTTTCTAACTAAAGAATGTAATTAACTTTTTAATTATTTTAGTTTAATATTTGATATAGTACATTGTACATTGTGTTCTGATTTTATATCAATAATAATATTAATATACAAAGAAAGAATTTAATATTAGTTGAATTTAAATAACAATAATTTTCCTCGTTTAATAAATTCCAAGTCATGTGCCCACTAATTTATCATTGATCGATAAATCACAAAATGGCTATTATCAACGAAGTTAGAGAAAAATTAAATAAAGCAGAAGGAGAGTGGAAGGAGCTGGAAGGAGAGGCTAGGGAGAGGTTGAACAAGTTGAAGAGGGGAAGAGAAGAAAAAGAATATTAGAAGATGAAAAGAAAAGGAGAGAGATAAATGGAAAGCATTATATCAAGAGGTGTTAAATGGAGGGAAAGGTAATGAACAAATTGTGTAAAAAATATACAAAAAATTATTTCCATTCATTCCATTTTGTTTATTTGTTTGTTTGTTTGTTTGTTTGTATATTTGTATATTATTTATTAATGGACAAACTGTGTTTACATAACAATTTCTGAAAGATATAGGTACTCAACTTAGACCCATTCAATATTCAGTTCAACCAGTTGATTCAGACAGCTTTCATTTTGATCTTCCATTGGAAAAGCCCATCCCTATGGAAAGTGAGATGTCATTAGTTCTTACATCCAACTTTATGCAGAATAAAATAACAATCATATTGTAATCCCATCTACAACTGAATATCATTCAGAGATGCAGTTTCAAATACTAAAACTTTTAAAAAATGTGAAAGAAGGTGACTCAGAAGATGGACTTTATGGAAGGGATGGTGGATTGTTAGGTATTGTTTCTTACCTTTCTTCATTCCAAGTTAACCGTAATATTGCACCTTAAAATGTAAACATGTGGATGCACATTTTGGAAGTATACCAATAATTCTTATGGAAGAAAAAGCTGATATAAATGATCTAGACTTAGCCAAATATGAATTGATGAGTAAATTTGCATGGCCACCTCATTATCGCAGATTGCCATTTGTTATTGCAATTGCAATAGCAGATGATATTATCTCTATCAACAAACTTTATCATTCACAAAATCTCATAGATGAATTTAAGATTAACCTTTTTTCTCAGAATAAGTGGGAAGTTTTCTATATAGTATGTTTTCAATTTGATTTTTGATTTAGAAAATTTTTTATTTTATTATGGAGTATTAATTTTTCATCCATCAATATTATTAAAGCTATGTGTCAATATAAGTAGGTGTTGTTTGTGAGCTGTTGATCAAGTTGGACCACTTCCATCATTCCCTTTTGGTGCTTCTAATGTACAAACAGCAGAAGATTATTCTTGAAATTGAGAAATAATTATCAATTACTTGGTAATTATCATGACATATATTGGAATGAAAGAGGAAAATATGAAAAGATTCTATGATTGATTTATCTTAAAATATGATATTTAATTATATTGTTAGCTTTAATACTAATGCACTGGTAATTTTCTATATATTATCCATTTCCACCTAATATTAAAATCAAATAAGATCAAAGATTGAATTAAAACCAACCTATTACACTTTACAGAACTGATAAACCAGAACAATGTGCTACTGGGTTAACCATTGCTTCTGGGAAACAGGGCTTCTATTCATAATACAAATTCTTATTCAAATTATTCGTAATACAGTTGACCTTTAATTCGAATTAATTATTCAAATAAAAATTTATTTGAATTAAAAAAATTTATTGAATCAAAAAAATTTATTTGAATTAAAAAGTTTTATTTGAACTAAAAAGTTTTATTTGAATTAAAAAGTTTATTCGAATTAAAAATTTAATTTGCTTTATTCAAATTACTTGTTTTATTTGTTTTATTCATTATCAGAATCGTTGGGTTTGTTCATTCATTTTATTAGATTATTTGGAATCATGGGTTGTTCAATCACTTAAATATTCAAACTATATATATATAAAACAAAGTTTAATATTGATTTTTATTATTATAAAAATTGAAATTAAAAATGAAACTAATAAGGAAAGACTGAAACAAGATTCATGTTTCTTTTAATAAATAGCAATCTTTCCAGTGAGCTTGGATTTAAACTGGACCTTAATTATTTGTTTTATCTGAATTAATTTTTTCAAATTATTTGCATTCAAATTAATATTAATTTCCTTATTCGAATTAATTTCCTTATTCAAATCAATTTTCTTATTCGAATTATTTCTTATTCGAGTTAATATTAATATTAATATTAATATTAATTTTTTTATTCGAATTAATTTCCTTATTCAAATCAATTTTCTTATTCGAATTATTCGTTTTATTTGAATTAAAATTTATTCAAATAAACTTTCAATGTAATTTGAATACTCAAACTCATAATGAATAAAGTGAATAATTCGAATAAACTTTCAATGTAATTCGAATACTCAAATTCATAACGAATAAAGTGAATAATTTGAATAAACCTTATTCGAATAGAAACCCTACTAGGAAATTCCCACAAAGTCCATAAGTTAATAACATAAATTATGACCTAACAAATTGTGAAGGTCATTCCCCTTCATTTTTACACATAAATTTATAAATACCTCTTATATTTCTTGCAGCATTCACATCCAAAGATGACTCCTCAATTAGCTGCAACTAATTGCGGCATATAAAAATTGAATTGTGGTTGTAGTTGCGACACATGAAAATTGAATTGCAGCTAATTGCAGTTCCCATCTTTATTCACATCCCTATTCCGCAACATTCCATTGCCATTACTGCGAAGTATTTTTACACTTTGAGCAAATCTGTAAATATAAATGTGAATTGAGGCATATCGCATTAAAAACAGATATAAGAATCATTTAACATATCTAGCTTGTTTTAAATTCATTTACAAATAAAATCACTAATTTTGATCTAAAAAATAGTAAAGGTGTTAAAGGCTTACTTGGTTGAGCCATCTTTTTATTTTCTTCTTATTTTGCACAAATCTAGCCATATCTCTGTACTCCTTTGTCCCATGATGAGCAACTCTTTCTTTATGTCAATAGCAACAAATAAATCTTTTCTCCCAGGATCAAGACCATTCATCTTTTTTTCCAAAAATATTAGTTATTCCACAATTATCCTCAATGAACCCATCCTTTGTATTTTTGAAGATTGATATACTGATACCAACCAAGTCAGTCTCAACAAAAAATCTGAATTTATTCCCATGCTTGTTGATATCAAATACCTGATTCCAATAATAATTGGCATTATCCCCAAATTGTGTTTCATTTATCCCTCTTTCAAGAGGATGGATGACAATTGATTTTAAGACTTTGTAAAGTGCATTTGTATCAAGAGACATATATCTTGTATGAAAGCTAAATTGAGGGATAATATCAAAGATTCTCAACCCTTTAATATTATTATTTTATTCAAATAGTTTCAAGATTTTGTATAACAAAGGAAGGTAATTTTGCCAGCTTTTTGCTCCACCCATTGCATCCTCTGAAAGATCCAAGTCCCCAACAAAATTTCTAACTTCATTATATAATTCCAAAATGTAATTTAGGCATTGTTGTGATGCATCATCTATGTTCTTCACATTTTCACCAACATTATTAATATTGACACAAGTGCCTTATATATCAAATTAACCAATTTTAATGTTTTTATTTTATTACAAATTTCAGGTGTGTTATGGAGACAAAAATTGATGAATTTGCAAAGTCATTGTGGAATATTTCTGGATACATGGCTATGACGATTAGTGAGATATTGGTTAGCAGAAAGACTTATAATTTGCCCAATTCCACATGTTGACACCATTGCATGTTCAGAGGTCTTTGATTGGCATGATGATTATTATGTAATGTATTTAATGATTCATCAGATGTTCTTTGTGGATCATGAGATCCTTCTCTGCATGAAACAGCTTGAAATAATTTTCAAATAAAGAAAGTTATAATCCATTATTGGTATTTGATCTGGCACCTCTCTATCCAATTTGTCCAATAAATAAAGTTCTAAAAGTTTTGCTCCCTCAAAAGTAATAGTGTTAATATGAGTCAATGCATCTTCTAGGGCTGGTTTGATTGAATTATCAATTAACATGCTATTAAGTGCGCACTTTATAGTTCTTGTTAGTGTGAGTGTATTAGTAGAATTGAAGGTTGGGTAAATTTTTGCTCGGCTAACTTTTTGTATTGGACAGTTTTTACTGGTTATGTGTTGATGTTTGAGAGAACTACATTTACACTTTTTGAGAGATGGCAAATTTTTAGAAGATGTTTTTGCTTCACGCTTTTGACTTGACATTTTTTTATTTACATGTAAAAAGTTTTTTCTGAAAAGATAGTTAATAATTATTGTTCGAATTGAATTGTTATTATTATTACTATTAGGATTAATTATAAAATTTTTTTATTAGTGTAGTAGTGTAAAGAATGAATTACTTTCCAAAATGAATTAATGATATATAAATTATTTTTATTGTCTTACAGACATAATTAGTAATAGTCAAATAAATTAAACAAGCTTACAAATGAGAACGCAATGTGAGTTTCTGCTACGCGAGAACAAAATTCATTTATTTTAAGTTGCATCTTCTTTGTCGCAAAAAGCAAAAAAATGACATCATTCAGGCCAAGACAACAGCCTATTTTATTAATTTCAAAACATATAAATAATACAGCCATCCCTCATTTTATTTTTCTTATCTCCCTATGAAAATTTGTGTAGAAATCCATTCCCAAGGTGCAGTATTGAACAATGCATTATCCATATCAATTGAAATATACATCATATAGTGATGCCTGGAATGAAGATGAAGCAGTAAAAAAATAAATAAGACACAGTTCACTCTCTTTATATTGCAAGCGTGAAATCCGAGTTTCCTAATTCTAAATGTCAATACATGTCTGGTTTTTCTGAACCTCCGATTTATAGCCAATATGTAATTCTTTTATCTTATAACCTGAAGTCTAGATAAAAGATTCCTAAATTTATGTATTTAAAAGGCGTCCCCTTGAAATATGTCCCAACAATTAAGTCTCTGTTATCAGCAAAGGCTTCTCTCCACAAGTTTATAATTAGCGATTAATTAATTGTTATTCCAAAGGTCAAGATTTATTTAAGGTAAATATGTTATGTGTTTTATTTAGTGATAATATTATTATTACGATATTATTTAGTGTTAGGAAGTTATAATTATTATATTAATAATTATGAACATGATGATTTCAACTTGGTCTAAAACTAAGTTACAAATAATGTGATTTGTATAACTATTCGAATTCTAAATATGAGTATTAACATTAATGATAATGTTAACCGGCTAAGGACTTAAATAAATCCCAGTTGATGAAAAAACTTTTTGTATTATTATTACTACTATCGTTATTATTATTATATTTATTATTACTATTATTTACTATTGTTATTATAATATCTCGCTTTTAATGATTCGAATAAGGGGTTTATTAAATTATTTGTTTTATTCGTTATGAATTCGAATAGGTCGAATAATTCAAATAGGCCGAAGAACAAATAGGTCGAAAGAACAAATAATTCGAATAGAACAAACAGTTTGAATAAAATGAATTATAATAATTCGAATCGAAATAAGAATTTGTATTACGAATAGACACTCTGTGACTTTTATTCTGCTATGATGTATTGTATTTTGTTTTTTGAGCAAATGTATGATTTTTTGTAATGCAGGTGGACCCATCTCAACCAAATGTCTACGCCACTGAATTCTGCATTAAAATTCCAGATGTAAAAATAAATGTCGAAAGAAATTTTTTTTTTTAGCCGGCTAACATCACTACTTTTTTGAAAAAACTAATTATTATGTCTATTTTGAATGGACTTGACCTGTGGATACAGCATCATTATGTTGTACCCTCTGGTTCAACTTACGAAACAAACCAAGGCTTGGTTTTATTTGTAATAGCAGATAACTATAATATGTCACGAATTTAGCACAAGTTGTGTATATAAATGGGACTTTAAATATTTTGTAACAGTGAAAACAGAAAACGAACATCTTTTAAGGTATAAGACATCCATTGCAATTTATTATTGCCTATATAAAGAATGTAATTAATTACATATAACTTTAAAATGGTAGTAAAAGATCGCAAAAAATAAGTTCATTGATCCCTGATTATGAAAGATAAAAAAAATCAAAATTGACGCGAATGTCTATGTATCAAGCGTGTTCTTTGACGAGTTGTGATCATCGGATAATTTTAAATATTTATTACACGTAAATTTTATAAAATTCGGTTAATAAAATTTAACGAAGGCCGACCAAAAATATTTTTTTATAACAAAATTTTTTAATTATAATAAAATAAAATTTTTAATTAAGAAAAATCATAATTTACTCACCATTACATCATCCTGGTAATATACATATGATATATAATTTGACAAAAGTAATATAAATTAATTCTTTTAAATTTTACAAGAAAAACCCCTTTTCTTCTTTTTCAGTTTTATTATTTATATTAATAATAAAAGTTATTTGAAAAGTACACAGGTACAAATATCTAAGTATATAAATATATAAATATATATAATTTTTTTTTTCGAAATTTTTTTTAAATCCTCTTACATATTCTGATACATTATCTACATAACAAATATCGGAAAGAGATAAAACACTTAAATAAATAGAATATTTTTCAATTTAAATAAATAAAATTTTACGAAATGACAACTTTACGTAAAAGAAACGAAGAAAGAACTCACGAAGGTAAATAAAAAAAACAAACAAGCAAATAAATAAAATAAGATTAATAGTTTTTTCTATTAATAGAAAATCAAGAACGTGCATATATAGCCGCAAGTCATCGAGGTGTTAGTAAAAAGAAAATTATAAACTAATTAAATATATTCATTCATTTGATTAATTATTTTTAAAATAAATTCTTAGGACAGGAGTATAGAAGCTCGTATTGAATCGGCTCGTAAAGCATCAGAAATTCATAAGAAACGTACTGGAAAAGCTCTACGTATTACTCCAGAAGATGTTAGAAACGAGGAAATGTATCAAGAAGTTGACGAGGAAGAAGAAAGTAAATTGGAACAATATCATCATGAGGTGATCGGCGAACATACTAGATCTCAAGGCCATATTTCCCATCTTAGTCCTAGAAACTCCTAGACGTGAATAAATCAATATGAATATATCTTTTACATTTTAATATATATGATTAGATATTAGATATTTTTTATATAATCATATGATTATTGTTATTTGCATTATTTCATTTTTAATAATAAAAATAATTGGACAAAATATTCAATAAAATTGCACAGTAATAGTAATCGAGTTTTTTTGTAGATCATTTATTTGTTTACAATAATTTTAATAAAAATTGCGTCTCAGGTTAGGTTCACTAAAATATTAATATGTGATTTTCGTTTCTCTAACATTTACCCAAAATTGGACTATTTATTATTATTTAATTTACCATAAAAAAAAAATCTCAATTGTTCAAAACGCATGCACATTTTGAAGTTTTAATAAACTAATAAAGAATAGATAAGCTCATATTCCTTGGCCACCTATTATTTTCAATAACTGTTTCAATTTTTCTTGGCATAATGTCATTAGGGAAATTTACCCATTCTTGTGATAAGAGATTTTTCATCAATGTATTTTTTGATAGTGCGAGACGTTATTTAAAGACATGTGATTTTGCGACGTTAACTTTCAGTTAAAGCCAACGTTTTGAATTTAAAATCTTTCAGACGCATATTATCATATTTCAATATTTCAGATTAGATTATTATGTACGTTTTGAACTGTTATCGATTTTTTTGAAGTAAACAATGTTTTTGTCAAAAATTTTGGTCAAAGTTTTATTTCTTTGATCATTAATTAATAAAAATGTCAAATAAATCAAATTTCGCGTACATATTTTGGTGAACCTAGCTACAAAATGATTTATTATTATTATTATTATTATTATGTACGTTTTGCTTTAATTTAATTGAAGTTATTATCGTCCGAACTAAGAATGGTTGACGAAAATTATATATGACTAAATTAAATATTTATCGTCAAGAATGACAGAACTGACGAATTTGGCGAAATTGATTCAGCCAATCAAATCAGATGCTTGTGATACTTGCTGATCACCAAATAATTCAAATTTTTGGACGATTGATATATCGATTCATTTTTAATATAGTGCATTTCAGCCAATATATTAATATCATGCATCAAATTTGGACAAGGGTAGTGATGGGCAAATTACCGATCATATGTAATTACTCAAAGTACACTTTTTGAGAACCTAAAGTTTTAATAATTTAATTTTATTGATTTTTGCCTGTTTGTGTTATACATGACATTTTTATCATTATATCCTGATTTTATATAGCAATTTAATATATAGAGTAACATTCGGTATTTAACATGGTAATTATTTTCGATTCTTTTATCATGGTGATATCCCACCACTAGACAAAGGGTTCCGAATCTAAATCATTTTTTTGGTGACTTCACTATATTGACATAAAATCAATATTTAGCCATAATTTTGATCATTGATTCTGAAAGTTTGGTCGGTTTAATTAATTTAGTCAGTACCGTCAACTGTGAGGAAATTAACAGAAATAATTCCCTGCCATGTATAGTATTTCGTCAACCATTTTTGGTCCGAACACAAAGATAAATTATCCGGGCACTGGCAATCCAAAACCAATTTATATCACATTAATATTAATGAACATTCAATAATACACATCTTGACCCATGCAAAAACAAAAATATATGCACGAAATACTAATTTGTATATCTTTTTTTTCATAATATTTTTAATACAATGGCAATGATGTTTGTAAACGATAATAATATAACACGTGAAGCGGACTTTTTTTTTAATCGCGGGGATTTCAACGTGTAAATGATCGGACACGTCAACAACATATTAATATAATAATGATAATTGACAGTTTGATTTGTCATCATAATCGCCGATAATTAATAACAATAAATTAATTCTTCTCTGTCCAATAATTTGTTTTAGAATTTTTAACAATGGAGATCAACATTAAATATTTCCAAAAATGATTCAGCAATTCTTTTCTTTCTATTCGAATTGGCTTTTTATTTTTTTTTAATTAAATTTCCAATTTTATATAATTTTCTTTTTTTAGATTTTTGAAAATAATTTATGCTAGTAAGAATGAACTATTTCTCTTTCTCCCCTCAAAGTAAATTAAATTTCCCCGGCATGAACTTGCATTATTATGTGTGTGAGTTTTCATTGTTTCGTAATAATAGTGCAGGAATCCTTTTTTCAATTGATTAAAAATTGAATTTAGTAATGCAAAGTGTTCTCTTTAATAAAACTGTGCAGCTATTATAAAGATTTATACAGAACACAAAAATTTCAGGGTTAAAGTTTTTTTAGTAAAAGATCATTTATATGATGTCATTGTAACTACGGTTATGGCTATAATTCATCTATTATCCAAGGAAATCCAATCTATATCAGAAGCGTATCAAGAAGCAGTAATCTTGAAATGGCATTGATGTTGTGAAAACTTTCTTTGGATGTAAGCTCAATTGACTAGTCTTAAATCTAACAAGGCCATATAATTATTAACCCTAAAAAATCAGTTCTAATTGGCAAGATGTATTGAAAGAATTGGCCAAACGTTCAGTCATACGAGCAAGAAGATAGCAAGAACTCCGAATACATTTTTTATACCTATTAGGGGAATAAGTGCTGTGAGCTGGAAGCGGTATATTAACCATTTAACCCTGAAAAGGTTTTCTTTAATTAAACTTAAAATCTCTAAATTGGGGAATATTTAGAAGATTTGTAATCAATCAAAAAAAAAATAAAAACTTTAAAAAAGACAATGAAAATATTTTCCCGAATATAATTAAATACACCAATAGCATTAGAATTAGGATTAACAATAATAAAACTAGCATATTGTTGCACGAATTAAATATTAAATACCATCCAATAAATATTCAAACAAGTTTTCGACCAATTAATGATTATAACTTAGCATATCCTACTACCCATTTACACCATTCACCCATTCAATCTAAAATTTAAAAAATATCCATTCGCCGCCGTCCTCTAAACACCAATCCATTCAACCTAACTTATTAATACTAATGCTTTTTTAAAACTGAGTTGGCTCTGAGTTGGTTGCGTAAAAAATATAATTAGTGAAGAAAGGAAAAGGAAGAAAAATTATAAATAAATAATAAATTTCATTGTAATAAGTCCTACAAATAATAAATTCATTGTAATAAATCCTACAAATATTTGCTTACAATACTTGTATTTAATATTAATATTTGGCAGGGAAAATATTTAAACCAATTTAAAACCATTGGTGGTAAATACAGATCACGTGAACAATTCAATTTCACTCCATCCAATATGCTTAGGCCACAAGAAACAAATATATTGGTTAAATAAAAATAATATGATTTATGCATATATCCACAAATTTGACTAATTATGATAATTAGAATGAAAAATATTTAATTGGATATTTGGCATACATACACTATTGTTTCAATTTATGTTCCAAATATTTCAATAATAATATTTTATGTTTCAAAAGAAGGAAATATTTTATTTTTATTTTTTTGTGCAAGCAAAATATTTATTACATAAAAAAACATTGTAATTGACATAATCAAAGGCGTAAGATAAATTCCAAGAAATTATTATTATTAATAAGCAAATTTTAAATGATTAAATTTTTTTATGAAATGCCTTGAACGCATTACCTCATACATATACATGTACACATATACTCGCTCACTTGACAATAACTTATGAACATTTTTTCTCTGAAAAAAAAAAGGTAAAAAAAAATATTAACAAATACAAGATGTTTCTCATAGAAAATTAAAAAAGATATACAAGATACATAATAAGCACATATATAGTTAATATATATGTATAGTTAATATATTTATCAACTTTTATGGTAATTTTTCCTATTTGTTAACAATGATTATTGGAAGTTAAAGTGTGTATGGGAAAATGAAAAAATGAAATAATGTATGAATCTTTACGTAATATGTAACATATATCAAATTTTAAAAATATATGATGAATAATAAATATGATACAAATTTTTAATTTAACTGGATACTTTCATTGATTACGTTTTTTTCATAGCTGAGTAAACCCTGAGTCAGGTCACGCATTATTATTTACATAATCAAATAAAAATCATTAGTTATATATTAAAATATTACTGATCGTCCTGCTGTCAAAACCACGTTTGTTTATTTATTTATTTATTTGTTTATTTTTCATTTTTTCCACGACCTTAAATGTATTATTTGAAAGGATCTATTAGAAGATATTTATTTATTACTAATTTAATTAGTTAAATTTGACATGTAGTACACGTATAAAAATATCAATATGTATTGTAATGTGTTTTAAATGACAAACAAACAAACAAACAAACAAGTAAATACAACATGTAAAACGTTAAACATTATCACCATCACCACCTACACATTTGTATATTTTTTCAAATAATCATATCAATATAGTATCATAATCGTAATCGTAATCGTAAATCGTGATCATAATCATAATCATAATCATAATCATAATTCATCATAATCACAATCATCACAATCATCACAATCACCACAATCACCACAATCACCACAATTATCACGATCATCACAATCATCCATCATAATCATCGTAATCCAGGGTTGGCAATAGACCAAGTCTCATTGTGACCAAGTTTTGCGTTAATAAAATACTAAATATGGTTCACCAATGGATACAATGGACCGCCAATGGACAGGTGCCATGGCCAACCTTGTAATCATCTCAATTAATTCGTGATATACGTGAAAGAAGTCTATATGTCGATCCGGGGAAAAAATATGAGAAAATCAAATTTGCGTCAATTTGAAATTAATATTAATTTTGAATACAAAATTCTGATTGGTAATTTGAATTTCACGCGTGTGAATTTCAAATCGACGCAGATTCCAATTAAATCTTGGGAAATAATTTGCAGAAGAATTAAAATAATTTTCTTGATTGTTTCTGAATAAAATTTGTTTTCCATTATTCATAATTTTATTAAAGATTGTATTAATAAATAACGTAGTTCAAATAATAATAATAAGTTGATTTCTTGTGGTGGGCGGGAAATTAAATCACAGACAACAACAAACTATTCAAAACTTGACCATGTAATTTCTCTTGCCATCATCACTAAGTCTTGGGAAATAAATTCACAGAAGAGAAAATAATTTTCTTGTTTTCTATTATTTGTAATAAATTGGAATATTAATAATAATGTAGTTCAAATAATAATAGGTTGATTTCTTGTAGTGGGCGGGAAATTAGATCACTGTCCAAATAATAATAAGTTGATTTCTAATTAGATCACAACAAAGCAAGGTGTTAATATTAAACCATTTTTAAACTTGACCATGTAATTTCTCCTGTCATCATTAAGTCTTGTACAGGAGAGTTAAAATAATTTTCTTAAATAAACTTTTGCTTTCTATTATTTATAATTTTATTAAAGATTGTATAATAATAACATAGTTCAAATAAATCGATTTCTTCTAGTGGGCAGGAAATTAGATCATAGCAAAAGCAAGTTGTTAATATTAAAACTATTAGTAAGGTGACATTAATTGGATTTGTATCATGTGATAAATTATTTGTTAACATTTTATCAGCTACATCTCTTTTCATTTCTGCAGAGTATCTAGAAATCCAATTACATATAGTTTCTACCTTAGGAATTTCATCAAGAGAAAGTTGAGTGTTATGAACAGATTCTTCAATAAGTTCTTTATGCATATCCTCTGGTGTAAACCTTTGACTTTTATCATAATTCCCTGTGTGAAAATAGGATTTTAAAAGTTCCACAATAGCTTTTGATATATGCTTACCTCCTCCCTTTTTTCATTTAAGTAGAAACTCATTTTCAATAATACTACACATAATTAAATTATCATTGTTAATATTATCCTCAGACTCAGATCTTTCTTTTTCATTTCTTTTTAATTTTTTTTCCTGTAATTTGTCAAATATAATTTAGTTAATAAAATTTTAGATAATTGTTATATTTACCTAATATATCTGGAATTGGTATATTCCATTGTTCTTTAGAAATGGAATGTGATGTACATGTGGGCTCTGGCTTGTTAATTTTTTGCTTAACCAAACCATTTATTTGTGCTGGTGAAAAGTTTACACAATCTTCTACATTAGGTAATGCATGACCACATATGAAGCCACTATACTCTCCATTAATTGGCCATTGCCAAAAGTATAAATCTGAAACACCAGCTAAAATTTTCACTCTCTTTTCTATATCTCTTTTTGGTTCTAAATGGGCAATTGAAGTTCCGTAAAGTTTTTTAACAGCTGATTCTATATCATTATCTGTTTTTAATCATTTCCTAAACTTACAAATCTTCTGATTTCATGTGCAATATTATATATAAAGTAAATTATTGTGTTGAAATTGGCATAAAATCCATATTTCAGGCAGCCTTTGTGCAGTTTGTGCATACCAAGAATTAGTATTTCAATCAATGGATAATAAACAAATATACTTACTTGGGCATGATGAGAATCTATTACGGTTTTGGCTTCACCTGGCTCCAAAAATGTCCACTTTCTAACTTCTATCTTATACCACTTATGCCAGTAACCTAAAATAACCATCAACTTTGAGTTGTGATAATGTCCTTCATTATCTGAGATGATAGAAATCCATTTAAGTTTTTTTTCTAATGATGTAATAACTGCATGAAGTGAAGATGCTGTGAACCAAGCATCTTGTTTTGTGTCATTAGACCAATGATCATATGCATTGATCTTCAATGTATCTGCTTGATTTTTAGTATATAATAAAATACTGTGCAAATGTCCAATCTTTTTTTCCAAAAAATTCTTCTTTGGTCTCATGGGTTGACTTTGGAAGAATTCTCATTTTGTAATCTACCAACAAGACAGTACCATCATAATCAAGTTCTCTAAGATTAACAATAAATTGAAAATTTTAGATAAACCTTTTGAGTTTGATGACTAAGATAATAAATTAGCTTATCTTGAGCATCCTTCAATATATTTTTTGAGTTCCACCAAGTATAAATCCTTGAATAAAACCCAAAATTCATCACAATCAGAACAAATTGTTTCGTGCAAATCTGTACAGATACCAAAAAGCATATGCAAGACAATGTGATATACAGGGATCATGGTGAGATTGTCCATCATTTCAATTTGATTTCATTTTCATAATTTCTTTTCATATGTTCAATCCTATTGATAGAATTTGACTATATATAACAAAAAAAAATTATTTGTTATAAATATTTTTTGTACAGATAATAATATACACACATAACCAACCTTTTGTTCACTATATAAATTACTTGCTGAAACTAAAACAATTAAATTTTCAAAAACATCATAACCATAATTGCAACAGATTGAACAAAGACCCCCAAGATCTTCTTGGTATTTAAATCTTAGGCTTTTTAATTCTTTCGTGAAGGTTGTCCTTTTAATACCATTGAGATATATTGTTGAGAATTTCTCCCATAGTTCTTTTTAAGATATAATACAGACTGATTTGAAGTACTATCAACCTTATATGGGGCATGCTGAAACAAAACCAGACAAAGTGAACATTTGTATTACCAAAGATTTCAGGGATCAAAATTTAGTTATCATCAATATGATTTTATAATGTCCCATTTGTCTTGTTTTTTTTTAAGTGATATATAGAACTACCCCTATATAAAAATAGTTAATATGAAACTCATTTACATTAGATCTACTATGGAACCAAAAAATTACAGCACCATTAGAAGTATTTTGAAGAAAGAACAAGGTGAAAAAATTGCTCCTTACATTTTTAAATTAGCAGATATCAAATCTTTGCA